TGTATGTCATATTCCTGTTTGTTATTGATCTACACGTCTATATATGAAGAGACAATACACACAAAAAAACAGTATGCACCTCAACAGAGACTGCTGGTTAACTGTACTTCACGTATATAACATTAATAACCCTAAATTTTCTCACAGTCATAGAATGCAAAATATAAAACCTATAATGCTTATATATCAGTTGATCTCTTGTATAATTTAATTCACTAAATTATACACACACACATCTATACGTGGAAACAGATCTATTAAGGAAAAGAAATAAAACAATCTTTAAGTTACTAAATTATACACACACACATCTATACGTGGAAACAGATCAAATAAGGAAAAGAAATAAAACAATCTTTAAGTTACTAAATTATACACACACATCTATATAAGGAGACAGATCAAATAAGGAAAAGAAGAAACACACATCTTTAATTTAATAAATTATACACACATCTATATATGGAGACAGATAAAATAAGGAAAATAGCATGTATCTTTAATTTACTAAACTTTACACACATCTATATATGGAGACAGATCAAATAAGGAAAAGAAAAACATACATTTTTAATTTACAAAATTGGGGATGATAATTAGAATAAGATGCTAATCAGTGCAATAATAATAAAACCTAGGTATTCATGAAGATTATAAGTAATGAAACAAATAAAAAGGACTAATCATCATGCAGAAGTAAGCAACCTACATAAATAGTTGTATATAGACAATGAATAAGGAGAGCAAATCTCCAAATGGGGCAATAACAAAGAAGCAATATATGTACATAAACAGTAGAAGTTCAAAGAACATATAGACAGACACATAAAGAAGACAGTTCAGAGGAAAACAAATATAACTAAGTTCGGTAATTAGAATAAGATGCTAATCAGTGCAATGATGAAGAACCTACATATATACAGGGATGATAATTAGAATAAGATGCTAATCAGTGCAATGATGAAGAACCTACATATATATAGGGATGGTAATTAGAATAAGATGCTAATCAGTGCAATGATGAAAAACCTACATATATACAGGGAATGTAATTAGAATAAGATGCTAATCAGTGCAATGATGAAGAACCTACATATATACAGGGATGATAATTAGAATAAGATGCTAATCAGTGCAATGATGAAGAACCTACATATATATAGGGATGGTAATTAGAATAAGATGCTAATCAGTGCAATGAAGAACCTACATATATACAGGGATGGTAATTAGAATAAGATGCTAATCAGTGCAATGATGAAGAACCTACATATATATTCCCTGTATATATGTAGGTTCTTCATCATTGCACTGATTAGCATCTTATTCTAATTACCATCCCTATATATATATATAGGTTCTTTGTCATTGTAATGATTAGCATCTTATTCTAATTACCATCCATGTATATATATATATATGTAGGTTCTTCGTCATTGCACTGATGAAGATTTGCTGGAGATAGTCTTACCACGACTTATCAGAGTGATCTCTTTGTGGGAGTTCCTGTTGAAGAAGTTTCAAAATGAAGACAATGGTGAACTAGATATTGTTGAAATGTTTGATCAGTTAACTGTTCTGATCACATATGTTCGCACATTAGCACAAGATTGTCTCAAACCTTCTTTAGAGGACATCAGTACAGAAAATAGTAACTCGAGTGTGAAGGTAATGTTTATAGTAAAAGGAAGAGAACTGAATACCTTTAAGTTTGTTCACATTATTAAACTTAACTCTTTTACTGTCTTGTTTTTAGGTAAATAACGTTCCCAGTACCAGATTTATTTTAAAATACATAATAAAATCCAAAAAGACACATGTTGATATTTTATTACATATCTGATGGTGGTAAATTTGGGAAGTTTGAAGGGGGAATATATTTCCATCATGTTGGTACAAAATTTCCAACTTCCATGGCATTTTACTAATAGGTGCCAGTGAAAGGGTGGAACATTTAATTTACTATTTGAAATGCATGAACAATGTAAATTTTAAATTGATATATATATATATATATTATTTTTTTTTTTTCTTCTCTTCAGATAGTGTATCCGATTATATGATATTGTGAAGCATATCATAATTGGAAACCAAAATTGAAAGTATTTTGACATCGGGAAACTATTCTGATTTTTATATTAATTTAAACAAAGATGATATAATGCAATGTTAGTACGAGTTAGGATACCATAAAAGATTGTTGTTTTTCTAATTAGAAATATATATGTGGTGAAGTGTATTATGGTGACAAACTGAAAGAATATATTCAGCATTTTCATTGTTTCTAATATTGAAAACATTAAAGGGTAATGAACTTTAATTTTAATTCTTATAAATGAATTTAAAATGTTTTACACGGGATACACAATAATGTTAAATTCCTTTTGTTCTGTATGTGAAGTACTGAATTATCACAAAATATGAGCAATACTCAGTTTAATGTTTTTCCTATTATCATCTTTCTTTGATGACAGTGTTGGTAAGAAAGACTTGTATATTAAAAGGTTTAACTAACTAATACAAGATTCTGCTTTTTGCACAGAGAAGGGTTGATGTAAGAAATTTATGATAAAAATGGTAATTAAGTTAGTAGACTACCCCTTCAGTAATCACATTTGAAATCCTAATGACAGTTTGACAGAATATGTTAATGATAATATCACAGACTTTTGGATTTTGTTTTTGTGTAAATGTTTATGATCAAGAATTGAACATTGATTATATTCAAAGTTCACATTTGGCAAAAAAGTTTTTTTTTTTTGCCATTAATTGTTTACTGAGAACAAATCAAAATTCTTTAGCATGAAGTTAGATCTGTGAATTCAAAAATAACTTTATTTTACATGTTACTCAGTAATTTCAGCCTTCTTGAGAGGCAAGAGATAAAATTACTTTTACTTCTATTGTAAATCAAATGAACTTGGGCTTGGCATAGAGGTGGCTAGAGCAATTGATTTGCAGTCTGTGAGATCGAAACCCACTGCCTGACTTGCAAGCCATAGGCATCATAATGTGAGTGTCAATTCCACTATATGTTGGTAAAAGAATAGCCTAAAAGTTGAGAGTGGGTGTTACTAGCCAGTTACTTTTCTTGTGATTGGCAGTCCAAAATTAGGGATTTCGGCAAATATTCATCGTAACTTTGCCATAAAAAAACAGATTGACTGAAATTTCAAAATGCTCTGTAAGGTTCTAAAGCCTACACTTACTGAGTATTAGGTTTGTGAAGTGTATATATGTGTATTGTTCTGTTACCTCTTTAGCATGTTAATGGATGTTGTGGAAATTGTATGTTTTTAATACGGATCAAACTGGAAACTTCTGAAAGAAGACAAATTTTAGAATTAATAGCTTCTGAGGAGAGCATTCTTTATGGATTGTTTTTTTGTTTTGTTGCTTTTAGAACTGTGGTTTTTATGGTATAAGTATGGTAGTGTTTATTTCATCGTGTTGTATATAGTGTTTGCTATCAATATTAAATTGGTCTTTTTGTGTTCAATTTGTTAAACACTATAAAACTACCTTTTGTCCAATACAAATTCAATAATAATAATAATACCTTTTGTTTTGTAACTTGGATAAAAAAAAATTAACCAATGTACAGACAGATCTTCAGTGATATTTACTTTGCCTCTGATACATTTCCCAATCATAAGTTTTATTTTCTTGCATAGCTAAGACTGGATATGCTTAAAAATGTCAGAACAAAAGAATATCTAATATATAATATATTTATATATAATATACTCTTCTCTATCAGAAGGTTAAAGTTAGAAAGAAGTACACTGTATAGATTTCTTAATTTTCTCTGCATTCTGTCGTGGTTTTTGATTTATCGGAATTAATACTTATATTTATGTATTTATTGTTTCTAGGTTCATAGTGAAGAACTTGCTCAGTTACTTGGAGTATCAGTGGGAGTCTATCAAACCAAGCCCTGGAAGAATCCTCATCAAACAGAGACTTCTTTAGAAAACCCAAGCTTTACTTCTGACCAACAGTGTACAAAACACTTTGATGATGCCTCATCCTCTGTGTTGCATAATTCCAGTGATGCTGTTCTTTCTGATTCACGTGATTTTGTAAACTCAAAACAGGACAGTGCTCTATCTTCTTGCTTGTTACTACCTGAAAGTAATTCAAATAACAGCATTACTGTGTGTGCTTCTGAACTAAAGAATACCTCAGTCTCTCTCACAGGCTGTCAGAGTGCTAATACTCCAGTTTCTGAACAGTCTACAACAGACATTTTTCAGCTTGTTGAAAGTAATGCTTCTCGTCCTCCTCATAAGAAACCACGACTAGGGGAGTTGACAGGTTTAAGCAAAAGTGTTACTGGTGTGTGTAGTCTGCCTTATAAGATTTTAAATGCTGACTGTACAATCAGTGACATCACAGATATTGAGAATAATGGTAACAAAGACACTGCGAGCCCATTATCCGAAAATGTTTCCTCAAATGTAGAAATAAGAAGTAACCCTTCATGTTCAGGAGAAACTGTAACAAAAAATAAACTAAAAGACAAAGAAGCTTACCAGAATTTAATAGAATTAGAGTTTGGAGTAAACAACTCTAATGCATCTTCTTATCAAGCAAACTTTCAGAATAGTCTAACTAATACTGCAGCAAATGATAAACTTGCTACATTTGCTAGCATAGCAGAGCAGTTAAGTACCATTTCTGTAAAAAATGTTCAACTTCCATTCATGGTTAACCAAGTAATCCCAATTTCAGAAGGTTGTATTTCCAGAGAAAGTAATAATACAAAAAGAGGTGCTTCTAGTCTGCATTTGGATAGTTCTAAGTCTCAGGAAAATTTTGTACAAGACCCTAAACCAGGTAGTTTTCTTAAGATATCAAATAATAATAGAAGTGTTTCTGGTAGTGCTACTGATTTGCAAAGTTCCATTTTTCTGAACCCAACTAGATGCAGTAAACAAAGTCAGTTCCAGAAACACTTACAAGTGAATACTAATGATAATCATCAGAATACATCAACTTATGATCACCAGCACAATGAAACAATGGTTAACAAAAATCAACACCGGAAAATACGAAAAGAAGAACCTGCTGGTGAGGAAAATTACCAGGAAGAGAGACAGAATGATGATCAGCAGCAAGAACTACCAGCACGAGTGGACAGTACTAATTACCAACAACAGGTCATCAGTAGTCTTAATTAATTATCAGTACTGAAATATTGCTAGAACATATAGTCCCTCCCTCCTAGATAAAAATTAACTAATTAAACCAAATTTAGAAATCGAGTAAATTATATAATTTGAAGTACTTTAATGCCCTTAAGATAGATATTCTTTAACAGTGAAAAGAATAGCCAAGAATCTAGCTAAAACTTAATTATGTTAGAGATAAGACTTGTTATTACTTGAATGTAATTCAGCCTGTGTAATTTAGCTATTGAATATTTTTTGTGGAATATATGACAGTATTTGCTTTTTTATTACATTCTTCATTATATTACTTTATAAAGTTTCTTTCATATTTTCATATTTGTTTTTATTTGGGTAGTTGAAATCTAAGACATACAACTGGTAGTAAAAGGTAAAAGTTAAAACCAATAACGATATTCCAGTTTTGTATTAAATGTTTCATATGAAACATGTTACATTGTTAACTGAAATTTGACATGCACTGTTGCTCTGGGTTCAATTTGAGTCACTTATCAGTAGTGCAAGCCTGTTGACCAACATAAAGCAAGAGAACATCATAATATTCTAAGAAAAATGACAATGAGATTAAAAAAAACAACCTTAAATTCATTGGCTTATAGTCTTAGGAGTCTTTCATAATGTAAGTAAATATAAGAAACTGTGTTACAAAAGAATGTTCAATTGACATTCCATACATGTGCCACAAAAAGTGTGTCGTTGGCCATTCGTAGTTAACATTTTCTTTGATAGTTAGTTTGTAGTCTAAATTTTATATCTCTAATAACTGGTCTAATAGTGTTTAGATGAAAGGAAGAGAAATTTAAAAATTTTTGAATTAGAATTAGATTGGCCA